ACTCATGTTGAAATGACCCAAGCATGAAGGACTAGAGTTTACTGTTCCACCTAAGATTAGCTACAGCCTTCCTACAGGCCAGCTATCTCCCATTCAACGGAGGCCCAGCTGTCTCGCAACCCTGCTCCCAGCTCACCACCCTGAGGGTGCATCCAGCTCCCCCAAATCACGCTTTATCCCATCTTCAACTTTCACTCCTGTTACACTTCCTTTCCCTCAAATGACCACTTGCCTTCTCCTTGCTAACAGATTCCTTCACAAACACTTGAGAAATGCGGAAGCTCCAAGTTTCCCCAGGATGTGCTGGGGAACCCTAGTCCTTCAGGATGAACCACTCTGCGCACCCTGACATTCTGGAAACACTGGACACTGCATTTTCTAACTTTCCTTCAATAATTACAAGTGCATCTGCCAGTTAAAAGCCCTAAAATTTATACCATTCAGAAATCTATTTAACTTTGTATTATCTAGATATGTACAGACATATCTTGATTGTGAAACACTTTTCTGGTAAAACAAGGCTTCTTGGGAGGAGTGACAGCTGAGCTGAGTCCTGGAGGTTCAGAAGAGGGAAGTAGGTGAAGAGAGCAGTGAAGAAAGTAAGAAGACAGTCAACTTGACATGTGACATGGCAGGAAGGCAAATCAGGGAGCGCTGGGTTTAAGCTATGAGGGCCATGGGAAGCTTCTGAGGGCTTCAAGCAAGAGCATATTCGATCAGATTTGCATTGACTCTTACTTTTGACTTTTATTCTTTGGAGACCTGTAGTAAACAAAACATGTTGCATTATTACCCATTATCTATATGCACATTACAGAAGTTTCATAAAATGGATCTAATTCTTGTCACATGTAATGTCCACTAATATTTTCTATTATTTTTTCCTCCTCTTGGAAATCACTTTTAAGAAGCTGTTCCAGTAATCTAAGCAAGGAAAGATAGAGATCAAAATCTTATAACACATGAATATGAGTGTCAAGGCCCCTCATCTTCTCCCTGATGTGCTAGATGAATAAATGAGAGTGATCCATTTTCAGGACAAAAGAAAAGCCTATTCTAGTTCTTCTGCTAAGAAGCAGTTAATTCTTATATCCTCTATGCACAATTTCCATTGTCTCTTGTTGCAAGTACGATGCAAGTTGTAATACCAGTGAGGGCAGAAAGTAAGTCAGATTTTTTTTTTTTTTGGTTCATTAGAACAGCATTGGTACATTGGTGGACACATTGTGGGTGCTTCAAACTCACTTATTGAGGGCATTGCATTGCACTGAATTGATGATTCTTCATCCATTGTAGGGCAAAGAAGTTTAGCAGGCTGAGAAACAGTAGCAAGCTTCACCTAAGTAGTGTGCATACCCCCACAGGTGGTCAAAGTACCCTGGAAAATATCTCCTATTCCTGTGCTCACTGTCTCAGGAACGGAGTGCCTGCATCACAGAGAAGAACCCCTGAATCTCCTGCAGTCAAACCTCCCAGAAGGTGAAGTCCAGAACGGCCACCATGTTTGCATTCTTCTTTACTTTCTGCAAGGATCACTACTGTCTTTTCTGTCCCTTCCAGAGCTGCCATCTGCTCTCATTGCTGAGGTCTTCTTACAAGACTGGATCCAAAACGGGGCTCAGTCTCAGCTTCCTCCTCCTTGCTGTCTGTGAAAAAGAGGGCTCTAGCCTTTTTGGTTTAAGGGCTTCACTGCTAAACAGAGAGCAAGCAACAAGCCGTCAAGCATGGGTATCACAAGAACAATTGCCAGAATCTCAACAGCATTTTTTTCCCTAGTGCTTAGAGCAGTCTGTTGGTAACCCCCAACCCTTCCTGCCTCCCTCCCCTACTTCCCCCTTTCTCCAGATTAGGTGCTCCACTTCCTGCTTGCAGGTCTGAAGGCGCAATTCATAGTTGAACAATAAATGAGTTAGTCACCCTCCAAGTTTTGGATGGCCAGAGCATTCCAGAAGAGTGACTCTCAGTGTTTCGCCTTGTCCACACAGGAAATAAATGACCTCAGGCCTCTCCTTCACAGTTACTCATGTACCAAAACTTCTTAAAAATTGTGGAAGGACTCTCTGGGCTGAGACCTAGTTTGCGGCGACATGGCTAAACCCTGCAAGTAGGTCAGAATCACTGGGAAATACGGGACCCATTATGGGGCCACCCTCAGGAAAACGGGGAAGAAAGTTGAAGTAAACCAGCACACTAAGTACACTTGCTCCTTCTGTGGCAAAACCAAGAGGAAAAGACGAGCTGTGAGGATCTGACATGGTGGTTCCTGCAATGAAAGTGGTAGCCCGTGGTGCCTGGACCTACAACACCACTTCTGCCATACAGTCGGCCATCAGAGGACGGGAGGAGTTGAAAGACCAGTAGAAGCTCCACCATTTGAAACAATAGTAGCCCATAATAAATGGGTTAATTTATGTAACAAAATTACTTTGGCTTGTTGTTAAATTTATTAGATGTTCCAACTTGCGTTGCATTAGTTGCTTTCTCAAAACTCTTGGAAATTAAAAATCCTTCTAATTTTGGGGTGCCTGGGTGGCTCAGTCAGTTAAAGGTCTGACTCTTGATTTTGCTCAGGTCATGATCTCAGGGTCGTGGGATCGAGCCCCGCTGGGTATGGAGTCTGCTTAAGATTCTGTCTCCCCTCTCTCTCCCTGCCCCTCCCCCCTCTTAAAAAAATCCTTCTAATTTTTATTGGAAAAAAAATTGTGGAAGGAAACTGAAGCGTGGTGCACAGTACTCTTTACTTTCATCTCTTCTCTCAGATAGGGTAGGCTGGCGAATCCAATTGCTATTCTGTAAAGTCTAGGACATCAGGGCTGTGTTGACCAGTGTTATTGAAATGCCATGATGGGAAATTCCAGGGGCCCAAGGCCCTGACAAAAGAAAGAAGCTGTCCAGATCCCAGTGGGCGAGCATCTTCAAGGTGGCATCTATGATGATTAATCAAGCCTTACATTTCTGGAACCTTATCTTCCTCTGTGGGAATATTCTCAAGACTCCCTGTCAAAACTGGTGGTTTATAAACAAAGCTCATTTGCACCTGCTTGCAGTGTTGGAAAGCACCCGCCAGCAAAATGGTGACAGTCCTCATCTGCTGGTGGTGGGAACACAGTTGGTTTTCCTTTTCTTCCTTCCATTTCTCTGTATATCTGAGTTTTTTTTTTTACCTAAATAAATATTTATTCGTAATACGGAGAAAAAAATCAAAATTGTTGTTCAGAAGGAAGTAGGTCCCACTGTTTCCATATACTTGCACATAGTGACATTCTGTTGTTTATATTGAAAAGATCATCTTTTTTAAATTTCTAAACCCATTAGGGAGACCATAGCCCTGGTTTTGGCAACATAGCGTCATGATTGACAACCTTAGCTCCTTGCCTTATTACGCAGGAATGACCTTGCAAAATGTACTTCGTCTGTCTGAGCCCTAGTGTCTTTGCCTGTAGAGGGGCCTGATATCTTCTTCACAGGAGGATGAGAAGCATTTAAAGCGCTCCTTTGTGCTTAGTATGTTATGCCTGCTCGAGAAACATTTGCTGATTTTCTTCTCACCCCAACACTGAGATCTCAGAAAGTACCCCTCCAGAGCAACAATACACAGTTCAAAGAAGCTTTAGAAGGACATTCAGCATCCAGCCAGCCCAACTCTCCAGGGTCCTGCCCACAGCCTCCCTGGCCGGCCAGCCATCCCTGCACCTCGGCGGAAGGCAGCCCCCGCCCCCCTGGGCGTGGGTGGACAACTCCACCGCAGGGTAGCTGCGCTCACCGGGATCATGATGCTCCTTGCTTTTTATGTACCTAAAATTTGACCCTCTATAAAATGCTCCCTATTGTTCTTAAATCTCACCTCTAGACTCTCCATGAAGAGCTAGCAGGCTCCCTCTTCTGCCCCAAGGTCCATCGGCTACCAGCACCAGACTGGGTCCTTGAGTACCATAGAGCTGGGTCTAGGCATGGCAGAGGCCTTCTTAAGTGACACAAAGCAAATGAGTAACCAAATCATGCCTCTGGCAACTGGCAAAATTTCCAATAGAGATCTACCTTACAGCCCCCGGTACTCTCTAATGGTTCTTCCAACTTCGTCCACTCAGCTTCCCCTTGATTGATTTATCAGTACCTTTCCTCTCCTCTCCCCAACACCAACTTTCCTTGTCCCTCACCATTTGTGAAGACAGAGGTTTCTGTTCCTATGTGGAAGATGTGACTGAACAAGCTGATTGGTAAAACTGTTTTTGCTAATTCCATTATACCAGGTAAGGGAGAAGATAGAACTTAATGAAGTGATAAGTACAGAAATACAGCAGTCAGGCAATAGAATTAATAATCATTCTGGTTTGATCCTTTCAAAAGTTCCTAAGGGGCTGAACTCAGTGATACCCAACTAGACCATCAAGTTGCTATTTTTGTATCGAGGGAAACAGAAGCTCTTTGGGATAATTCTTTTGCATTCCAGGCTTTCGGTGGGGAAAAAAAAGACACACACTGTACCATTAAGTACTTGAGAGACATGATTTTAGGATGTAACTCAATTATCCAGTGATTAGAAAGAGCCTGGGAGAAATATTTCTATATGTGGGCAGGACCACTGTCAGATTAAAGGTGCAGTAGTTCTAAATCCTGTTTGTTCCAGCCCTGTGTTCCATTGCAACGATGTGAGTGCTTGCCTTCGCTGGTGGATCATTAACAGAGGTTATTGGTCTCCATGGCAAAATCATTGCTCTGAACGTAATCTCATTTATGGAGGGCAAAAAACAAATAAATAAATAAAGGACTTCAGGTCAGGGAGATTGTATAAATGTCCGTCGCCATCAAGGTTCTGCCACATTTGAGAAGCAGAAGCAACTCCAAGGACACAGCTCACAGGCTGATTTGGTTCTCGGCTCCAAAATACAGACTGACTTGGGGACAATTACGAGGACACTCTGGCCGATAACTTTGAAGAGACCCCGTGAAGGCGACAGTGAGGGGCCTCTGATCGCAGACCTATATTACACTTCCCCAACATGTGTACTGGGGGCTGTGCCAAGTGCCTGGGGGGCACCCTCATCCCCCTCGCCTTGTTTGGCTTTTTGGCTAACATCCTGTTATTTTTTCCTGGAGGAAAAGTGATAGACAACAACGACCACCTTTCTGACGAGGTCTGGTTTTTCGGAGGAATATTAGGAAGCGGGGTGTTGGTGAGTAGGGAAGCCTTAAAACCCTCCCATTGATTTTTGCCGAATCCTTTTAAAATTGGGTACTTTTTGAACAAGAAGATATTTAGTTGCTAACAAGAGCCCAAGCATTGCGTGATGGAAAGTCAGTGCCTTATTTCTTTCCCTTCTCCATTAGGTCCTGACACGGACATGTCCACTAAATTTACTAAGTAATGAATTCCCAAGATTGGGCTGGCAGTTCTCCTGGGTCCATTGAATTCCACCAACCAAGCTGAGGGCTACCTAGATTCTATATTCTAACAAGATAGTCCTGGGGGCCGTAGATACACACTTTCTGGCAAACTGACTGACTGAAAACCACCAAGAGAAGCAGGTGTCGGTGGATCCTTCTTCCACTCCTTCACTAATGATCTATTTACCCCTCGTTTCCAGGAGAGTTTAGAGAGACTCACTTTTCCTAACAACTGAGGACAAGTTTCTTATTGCTGTCCTAACCCACCATGTAAATGGAAACTCAGGGTGTCAGATCTTGAAATCTGGCCTCACTGAACTGCAGTTAGGCTTTACGGACCCCACAGAGTCAGTCGTACTCGGCTACTCGGTGGAGCTCTGGAAGTTCTCGCCATAGCCTTCAGCACCCGAGTCCCACAGCATGGACGCGGCTCCGCACGCAGCCAGGCAGGCGCAGGCTCTCCCTTCCCGCGTCATACCCCATCTGAGGTGCTTCTCTCGCTGGCAGATGATCTTCCCTGCGCTGGTGTTCTTGGGCCTGAAGAACAATGACTGCTGTGGGTGCTGTGGCAACGAGAGCTGTGGGAAGCGCTTCGCGGTAAGTTACCCGGCGGCGCCGCGGCAAGTGACTCCCGGGTGCACTGGCCCCTTGTGCGGGGCACTGTGGGGATGGGGCCGAGTCACCGGCCCCAGGCAGTCACCAGCTCTGGAGGCAGCTGGGGCATGGATAAATAGGGACGTCTTGCTGGTGCAAAGTAACAATAATAATAAAATTTAAACTACCATAGCCCTGATACTTACAGGGTGTATCATTATAGCTTTTGCAAACGGGCAGGGACGTCAGCGCTGGAAAACCGGAGTGGTGCCATGTAAAGGAGGCAGGCATGGAAGGCAGGGATGGGGGCTGCAGCTCTCCCTCTGTCACTGAGAGGCCTTGAGACCCTGGGCAAGTCATTTCCCTTCTCTGGTCCTGCGTTGTCTCATCTGTAAAGGGAGTGGGGGGGGCAGCATGACAGATGCTACCAGCCCCTCCCCAAGAGTCCCCTAAATTCCCCATTCACCCCACTGCCAGCTTCACTGTCAAGGTGCCCAGATTTTGCCTCAGGACTTCTGTTTCTTGTTTCAAGCATCCTTTAGTAGGTGAGCTAGAGAGATTTGGCATCACCACGCCAGCCTGGGAAGTGGGGTCGGGTCCCATTTCTGCACCTGGGCAAGTCACTGTACTGCCCTCTGCCTCCCTTTTACCCATCTGTAAAATGAAGAAGTTGAATTAGATCAGAATTTCCCAAATATGGGACAAGCTCTGCTGGCCCACAGGTGTGCTGTATCTGTGAATAACAGAGAAAGACATTCCCCTGTCAATTCTCCTTCAATCCTTTTGATTTTATCAAGAGAAACTCAAATTTTGATGGAAATAAGTCTTTACCATCCCAGATCCCTCAAACTCTCCCTTTCTAACAAAGGGAGAACACGTTTCAGGCTCCAGGAACGCAAGCAACATTAACTAAAAATTCAATAGTACTGTATTATCTTTGTTAATGATTCTAGCTCTCCACTCATAGTGGTGATATAAATGAATAAAATAGAGAGTTGACTTAAAGAAAAATATTAAGAGTTTGGGTACACTGATAGGGCAAAAATGAAGAAGGCTGAACTGGAATTCCTGGCTGGCTGATGAATAAGGCTGGTTCTTGCTCTAAATTCCCCAAGGTTCAACTGTCCATCTAGGAGATTTGTGAAACTCAATGATGAATTATACAAGCTTACCTTAACTTCTAAAGGAAAAGGTGTAGCCATATGTTCCGAAATAGAATCATTTCTAACATTTCTTTCCCATTATTATTTGCTCATTTGTTCAATCAAAAAATATTTGTTCAATCAAAACATTTATTGAGCACCTATGAAGGGTTGAAGCTAGGGCACTGGGCATACGATTATAGTTTTTTACGTGCAAAGATCATTCAAAGAGAATGTTCTTACCTTCTTAACACCATCATGAGTCCCAAGTAAGCACTGATCATTTTTTTTAGCATTGATTATTATAACATTTAAAAGCAAAGAGATGTAAAAATTAACCACAATTGGGGTGCTTGGGTGGCTCAGTCGTTAGGCGTCTGCCTTTGGCTCAGATCGTGATCCCAGGGTCCTGGGATCCAGCCCCGCATCGGGCTCCCTGCTCCGCGGGAAGCCTGCTTCTCCCTCTCCCACTCCCCTTGCTTGTGTTCCTGCTCTTGCTGTCTCTGTCTCTGTCAAATGAATAAATAAAATCTTAAAAAAAAAATTAACCACAATTTATTTGATATAGTTATGTAACATGTGTTTTATATATGGTATTTTTATATAATTAATTATAAAGGAAAGAAAGACATCTATAACTCATTTGCCCTTTGAAATATAATCCTGTTTTCTCCTTTTGGAGAATACGTTGAAGATGAGAATTTGAAAAAAAATTGGCAATCGAGGAATTGGATGAAAAGGAAAATAAGTCATTGCCTAGAAATCTAACAGCTCCGGGGCGCCTGGGTGGCTCAGTTGGTTAACTGTCTGCCTTCGCCTCAGGTCATGATCCCAGGGTCCTGGGATGGAGCCCCATGTCGGGCTCCCTGCTCCGTGGGGAGCCTGTTTCTCCCTCTCCCTCTGCCTGCTACCTCCCCCACTTGTGCTTTCTCTCTCTCTGGTGCTGAGTAGAAGGCTCAGAATTAAAACAAGGGGTTTTGTTTGCTTTTTTTTGTTTTTGCTTTTAGGTTTATACATAACCACAAGGAAAAGTGAAATCATATTCAAAGTATTGTACATAACTTGTTTTTTAATTAGATTTAAGTGAGGTTCCAAGACAGAAAAGTCGTGTTTTTTTCAAGCACAGTTGAGTTCATAAAATCTGAAACAAAATCTGAATCTGCCCACTTCCAGTTGTCTGTCTGGGCTCCCTAACCCCCCACGTAGGATGTGCCCTTGGCTTGGGTTGAGGATCACTCCTCCAAACGACTGGCTTTCGGGCACAGGGGCAGTGCCCATCAAAGGACCAGCTCTGCCAGACTGTAAGACAAGGCAAACAGCCATAGCCACCCAGGGACAGCCACGCTCTAGGAGGCCAGTGGAATGTCTTGGTTTGGGTTTGGTTCTTAATCAGCTGTCAACTTTAAAAAATAGGGAGATTTTACAGAGGTATTCTTTTCCAAAAAATTAAAAATTGACCTGGGCCTGCATTTTGACACAACGATGGCCTGCAGTGGGCACGGCTGAGCACTTCATTCTGGGTCCCTGCCCTGTCCCTAAGAGCCACTGAGCTCATGCTCCTGCTGCAGGGCTGTTTCCTTAACGTTCTGAAGCTCTGGAGCACTAAGCAATCATCATTTTTAAAGAAAGGAATCCACAAACATTTTGTCAGACAAAAAGGAAGAAGCTGCAGCATATTTCGATCAGTACTCTAATGCTGAAGATTCGGATTATTTTTCCAAAGGCTTGTGGCTTTCCTGTCCTGGTGCTTAAAGAACACTGGGCTTCTGTGGAACACTGTTTAGAAAATCCAGCTGGGTACAAATTCCTCTGAGGCAGACACACACGAGGCCAGGGGCTCTGGGGCTATCCACATCCTGTCCCCGTCTCTACAACCTTGCTCTCGTTTGTTTCCTGGTGCCCCCGCCCCCTTCTTTGCTACACGTCTCTCAGGAATACTTTTCAGAAGTCAGCTGCATCATTCTCTTCCCTTTCCCTGGGTGTAAAACCAAGGCATAATGATCGATAGTAGAAGCAGGATACGGTGGTTGTAAAGATAAAGCAAGACAATGAGCTGGAAAAAATCTTGAGTTCACCTAACCGGTAGTTTCATGGTCAAACTAGAAGATGGAGGCCAGCTCTCCTCTGAGGTAGAGCAAGCCAGAAGCCCAGCCCCGAGGTCTGCGCTCTTTTAAATAAATTGAGCTACATGAGGGGTGCCTGGGCGGCTCAGTCAAATGTCTGCCTTCAGCTCAGGTCGTGATCGCGGAGTCTGGGGATGGAGTCCCGCATCAGAGGGGAGACTGCTTATCCCCCCTCCCACCGCTCATGCTCTCTCTCTCAAATAAAATCTTAAAAAAAAAAAAAAATTAAGCTACATGAGAACCGAGAAAGGGGGCAAAAACTGTGAGATGAGAGTGACTTCCGAAATGGGCTTTGAAAACCCAAACCTGGGTTTGTTTTGGGGTCTCAATCTCTTCCTCCCCTAAAAGACGTTCTCAGTGGCCTCCTGGCAGTTTATCTGTGGCTGGTCAGGGTCTCAGGGCCCCTAATCCTTAAAAAACAAACAGACAGAAAAAACAAAACTCTCTGAGTCCATAGAACAGCTTAATTAATTTTATCCACTCATTCATATTAAGTCTGTGCTTTAATAAGAGCCTTTTGAAGACCTTGGCCTTGACTCAAAGGAGTATCTAATAATAGAACTGAAGGTACATTTAAAAAAAGAAAAGAACTGAAGGTACATTGATAAAGGAGTTATTAGGGGCAGGCAGGCATTTCAGTATCCTTAAAGTATATCAGGTAGATAAAGGGGCACCCCACCCACAGGCAGGGCCAGATGGCTGACTGACCTGTTGCCAAGGAGGATCTTGTCACTTCTTTATTGAGTCTATTCAATGGAGAGTCAGCACTTCTTCCGTGCCCGGCTCACCAGTGCCCTCTAGGGACACTTCCGCAGTGAATACTTCTGAGTGGCATTACCTCGGCATTCTTTGGAATGACAGCCAGTTTGAGGAGGATTCAAGAAAGATAGTTCTTTTGAAATAATAGATTATCTTGAGAGAAGAAATAAAATAGGGAATCCTATTTCTTCACTAAATGTTTTTTATGCTTCAAAATCCTCTGCTATGAAATGGATAATGCACGCAGGTCCCTTCATAAGGACAGTCTAAGTGTGGGGGAAGATGATGCAAGCATTAGTGTACCCAGAAGGGGAGAGGAGCACTCAGTGGCTGGGTAGTGAGGACACATAGATCCTCCGTAAATGCTTGTTGAATGAGTGAAGAAAATGAACGCTCACGAGGGATTTCGGGTGATTTCCAAACTTTATCAGGCCCAACTCTCTAACACTAACCCTTTGAGTTAGGCATTAAACTCCCTGTTTTGTAAATAAGGAAACTGAGGGTCATACAAGTTGAGTTTCTGATGGCCACAACCCCCCCACCCCCACCCCAGTCCTCTCCCCTTCCCAAGCCTGGCCAAGGCAGAAAATACAGAACATTAACATCCTAAGAGAAAAAGTGCCTCAGGTCATCTCTGTATATCCCAGAATAATTAAGGAGGAACCTTCACGCCCATCAGAAATATTTCCCCAACATGTTGCTACTACCCAAGTCTCTAAAAGCTATGTCCTCAAGCCTCCCAGGTGTCTTCCCTTCCCAGGCCCCAGTGCCTCTGCCATCTGATTCAGCCGACCTAGGCACATATCTGACCAAGAACACACCGTGGGCAGTGGCAGAGCTGGGGTCCGGTCCCACGTCCTCTGCCTCTAGAACCTGACAGAGAGGAAGGTTTCAAAGCTGACAGATGGTGAATTTGAGGGCATTTTTATCTTCCTTTTCCAGGGAAGTATTTCCAGCATATACATAAACACATTTCTTT